TTATTGTTATTATTACTACTATTGTTATTGTTATTATTGTTACTATTATTACCTATTATTACTGCCATTGTTTTTCCGCAAATTTAAAAAACAAAATTCTAGGATTCGTGAATGAAGTTAATTCTCTTGTGTCTCGAAAAGGCATTTTATAAACTTTTCGCACAATAATTGTGTTTATGGTTATTACAATAAGCATATTGTGTTTATTACAAAATTATTTTGTATGACTTAATAACTACGAAATGGTTCCAGAGTTATTGTAAATCCCCTTTATCAATTATCAATAGAATGAAAATCTATACAGAAAATCTGCTTTTAATTTTTATAAGGTATTGCCTATCTATTTGGCGAATTCATGGAGAAACCACTTTTTTGCCACAAACCTTTAATTTGTGAAAGCCATTTTAGTTCCAATTTTTCGTTCACTTTTTTTTATTCCTTTTTACTATAATTTTAGGTGAGAAATATTGAAAATTGTCGAAATTTTTAAATTTTATCCATATCACTAAAAGGCACGAGGTTTTATCTTACAATCTTTAAGATTTTATTACCTCTTGACCATTCCTATCTAGTTTTTTAGTTTTTTCTGGTTATATAGTTATAAATATAGTTTTTTCTGATTTATTTCTGATTCCTATTTGAAAATTTGAAGCAGTCCAATTTTTTTTGTTAAGAACGCACACCATTTCTGGTTAGGCTTGCCAGAGCAGATAAATTTTTTTGGGAAGTATCAATACATTTTTTGCGAAATAGTGGCGATAAAAGAGCAGGTGTGCCGACACCCAGATTTTCGATAAGTTTACTTTAGCTGAGAGCAGAACCCCAGCATGGAGCTGTAGGCAACAACTGTGTTATCCCATCCCTTATTCGATTTGGCATAGTTTAAAATTCTTTTCCTTTTACTTTACAGATGACACTACTCATTAGTTTGGGACCCTTTCGGCAGGATCGCTTAAGAATAGAAATAAAAGTGAGCCACCAGTACCGCTTGAATTTTTATTTCTAATGATATTTTTGCTGCCTTTCAAGGGAATCGAAGGACTCAAAGGAATCGAATTTATGATGAATGCAGCAGTAATAGTAGGCATATTGTCTCCAACTTTTCTACCGCAATATCTTCTCAATTCACAAAAATAGAAAATGAATAAAAGATTCCTGATTACAATGAACAAACTGATAGGTCTAAGTGTGAATAGAGTTTTCTAGATATTTGACTGAACTCCTTAGAGGAATACAAGAATAATAGCCATGAAAATATTAATTTTTTATTTAACGGCGTTAATCAACAAGAACCAGTTAGCTTATTTTTCAATTTTTTGGAATACTCAGATTAGTGGTTCTTGGGAAAAATTCTGAGCAACAAGCAACAACTCTTTATTGTTCAAAACAATCGAGTATGACAACAATTTGTAAAGGTTGAAACTTTTCAATAGAGCTTTTTATAATATTTATTTCAATCTTCTATTATGGGTTTAATTTCAATTTATTTCTTCCCATATATGACTATGAATATAAACGCAAAATTTTGTTTTTTTCTGAAGAGCATTCAGTTCAATAAATCATGAGCAAATTTTATTTTTATTCTTGTATTGGGCCGTTTTATGTTGTTTTCATATAATATTTTAAGCTCCAAATAACGATGCTTTTTATTTTTATTTTATTATTGCTCATATTACTATTATTTCGATGTTCATTACTACTATTTTTTAAAGTTGAAAATTCTATGCTAGTTGGGTTGAAATCCGCCCTAATAGGCAGTGGTTAAATTTTTTATAATGGTTATAAATTTATTTATCGTTGGAATAGTTACTGGAGAGAGAATATCGCCGCCATTACTGGTCTGATTTATTCTCTCAGTTTTTTTTTCTTTAATGCACTGCTGGTGCTATTGCGTTGTCGTAGCTATAGCTTTAGCAAGTAATTTACCTTTTGTGGAAATATTAGCATCTAGCAAATCATTACTGAAGATTATCTTAGACCTTAGACAGCCGGTTTCGTAATTTGGAATAATAATTAATATTCGTTAACATTCATAAAATTAACAAGGTTACAATGAATCATCCAATAAAATAATCTTTATTTTGATTGAATCCAAGATCCTACTATCACTCGAATTAGTTTGCATAACAAATGACAATCTTTCCATTCTTGTAGAGAGAGTGAAGAACTTAGTTAAAAGCAATAAGAGCCAAAATGAAGTTTTAAAAAGTGAAAAAATTTGGAAAGAATGGCAATCGCAAGTTATTAAGCAACAAGAACGCTAGCTCACTCGAAGCAACATATCATTTGACCTCTTCTTTAAATCAATATTTAAATGAGATATACATGGAGGACCATCGAGAATATTCATTAATTTCTGTTAATAATATGACGACATTGACATTGACATTCTCCAGTGATTTCAGCCAATTCTTCATATTCAGATCAATAGATTCTTGTTCAATGACTAAATGCTTAATTATCCACTGCGAATGCATATTTGATGAAGAAAATTCACACTAGCGATTGCTAACTTTAATATACCTTTAAATTAGATATAAATTAGAGTATCAAATAGCGTTTTCCACGAATATTTATGATTTAATCGAAAAATACTGATAATTTTGCCCTAAAAATCCAACGTGAAATCAACAATCAAATCTATCTTATATGATTAATTTTCAAGAGAATCACTCTTAATTAATAAATTTGAATGTTAATAACTCTTGTTTTTTTTTCAGTAGATTTTCTTTTATTTATGTTTATTTATGAGTTTATAAATTTGCAACTTGGCATTTGATTATTTTTTCTTTCTTATTTAAAATATTTTTAAAAAAATTGAGAAATTGGGGAAATAAATTATAATTTGAGGACATAATGACGATAAAGAGATGACAAGAAATGTTTTAGACCATTCGCTATACAACCATTTTCATTTAATCTTGATATTTTGATCTTATAAGCCCATCATAAATCAACGAGAATATTTAATTGTTTAAATATTCTAAAAAAAGAAGATCTATTTTGACAGGATACGCGAAAATATTATTATTTAAGGAATAAAGCCAGAAGTACTCAGTACATATTCGCTATATAAAATATTTGCCCTTTTTTTCAAACAGCACACATCATTCCTGGTTTGGTTGGCTATACTACTAGCTACTGACTATGAGCTCTTCGCCAACGAGTCATTTGGGAATGTGAATACAACCTCTTTCAAGACCAAGACCACCCATGCCAAGTGGGTGAAGTCGAATCGAACTCTCATCTCGTTATACCATTCAGCCGTCTTGCTTATCTATTTGTATTGCTATAAATATAAAAACTGAAAGCATTTCATATCATAACTACAATCTGCTTAAATGATCTATTTAGCTTGATTCAATAAATTTTTTTTGATGGAATTTTCAGATATGCATATATTTAAAAGCTGATCTGATAATTCTGAAAGAAATTCTTTGTAAATATCGCGAGAAAGTAGAAAAAAATCGAATATGAAATGAATGCTTGTGTGTCTGAATCAGGGTGGTAATCAATTTTTTTATCACTGATTCATTGAATAATTTGATTCTATCATAAAATTCAGGTTGTTTTATATTTAACGATTCATGCATCTGTGGTTATAGCGAATTGCAGTGTAGGTAGCTGGACCTATATTAGCTTGTTTACAACGACTATCTTTTTATAATACCAATCATCCGATTTATTTATATAACGAATAGTCTAGATGACGCGATTCTTGTTAGAACAAATTTTGTGGTGGCATAAATGATTCTTCTTCTTATAACTCTTACATTACTGGTTAGAGCTGGCTACAAGGATATCCCAAAACTGTTCGATTTCGATCTGCTGCCATTGCTGACAGTAGTATCTTAGTCATGAATGATCAAGAGAAGATAGCTTCTTAATTTCCTCCACTCTCACCAGCCACTGTCTCAACCATATAGCAAGATTGAGTGAATAGCAACTATATGGATGCGAATTTTTGTTGTTATAGTGATTTCATAATGTCTCCGTATAAGAATGCATTTCTAGCTACCGCTGTCCTATAATTTCGTCTTTCGACTGTTTAGGATTAGAATAAATTCAATATAATGAATGTATTTAAAGATGTATTTCATCAGCTTCTTGTATATAAGACAGAAATATTTTCATTTTAATTACATTGAGTCTAAATTCGATTCTCATTAAAGTTGACACATTGGTTAGCATTATTTGCATTTCTTCATAACTGTAAGCAAAAAGGAATATATCAAGGAATAAAGCGTATTCGAGATCTGTGATACGCTCTGGACTCATTTGTACACCACTTGATTTATTATCCAGTTTATCGCATATCTGAATATTATATGGGAATTTAGTTTTGGCATTAGTTCTTATTTCGAGTTTGTCAGTTCCTCATATACACAGGCCTATATCGATTTAGCTGATAAAATACCTTTATGAGTCGAATGATCTCTGGAACACCATCACATTCCATCATTCTCCAAAGCTCTGTTCTATCAGTTGAATCGACTGAAGTGAAAGTAGCTGCAAAATCGATGAAACACGTGACAGTAGGTTGCAGATCTTTAAATCGATGTTCTAACAGCCTTTTTAGCGTGAATATCTGGATAGCACAACTGCGTTCCTGCCTAAACCCAGCTTGATTCAGAACTCACCCTACTATCCCGTACTTCCATAAGTCTACTGAGTAAAATAGAAGCAAAAATTTTCGCTGAGACATCTAGTAAGCTGATTCCTCGATAATTGTCGCATTATGTCCTAACACCTTTCTTGACAATTGGAAGCAGAATTGTTTTGCTTTAATCATCTGGTAATATTTCTTTTTCCCATACCAAAGAATATATTTGTGGAAGGTGCATTATGAACGATGATGAACAACATTTGGAGAGTTCAATCCGGAGACTACTTTCTCCTGGACACTTATTGGCCTTGTACTTATGGATAACTAAGATTATTACTTCTTGAAAAGGCGGAATAATTTCCTATTATGCCTAATCGAGCCGACATCTCCAATCTCAAGGCCATGTCGCTCCAATAGTGATTTCTATCTCGCTGTGCTGCTGTCGTTGCAATCCTTTGAAGCACCCAGGATCTCTTGATATTCGTACTTTGGCAGCTTTTTCGGACAACTGGACAGTTGTTTCCGATATCTGATTAGTACACCTCCTACTTTTATGTAAAGTGGCTGGTTTTTGGAGACATTCCTTCATTTGGAACAAGTATTCATCTACCATTCCTGAAAAGTTGTTGATGTTTATGTCATTGAGGTACTTCAATAATTGAGTTTCCTCATCGTCCCCGAATTTTTAATTTATGATAGTTGAAGATCTTGCGGGATAGTTTTTTTTGGCGGACATCGGTTTTATACAAATTTTGGTTCGAACTATAACGTGATCTGATCTATGAACGCTACCAATTTCACCACTGCGATAAGAGCGACTATCTAATACGGAATTCTTATAACAGCGATTTACTAAGATAGAATAAATCTGTTAGAGTGTTGGTTTTCCGAGGAGCTACATGTAACTAGATGTTTTCTACGATGCCGAAAGCATTGGTAACAAAAAGTTTATGCTCGTCATAGCAAAGAAGGCATTCCCCATTGGCGCACCGGTCTCCAGTGGCATTACGATCTACCTACGCATCCAGTCTTCCCTTACGACCATTCATCTCTCGGTAGAGATGTTGTTAGCAGCTAAAGTTTCGCATAAGACATCCTGGTTATCTGCAGAGTTGGAGCACGTACACAGTTGACCGAGATATTGCGGAACTATCCTTTGAAACGCTTGTCATACGGTCATTTACTGGCTTCCATTCAATCAGAGCGGATCGACCCTTTTCAGACATAACAATCCCTACACCATTTCGCCCCGAGTTATTTGAAACACCATAACGATAAAGACTTTGCCTGGAGCCAGCTTTAGTAATTACATGAAATCCGAAATGAGGAATACGAATTTCTGAAAAGTAGGGGACATCCACACTACATTTGGAGAGAATGTTAACAGTGATCACTTGACTTGTAACAGGATAGTTCAAAAAGCGTTCTGGTATTCAACGTTTCCACGGTTAATAAACATGTGTGCAGAGAGTCGTTTCCCTTGATAGATTTTGAACTATCCTGGCTTGCGAGCACATTTTATTCACAAGCCTCGGGTTTGTTTCGCGCCTGAATTTTATACTTTTCTTATGCATCACCGGATTGAGAGTACCATGCGCGTCGAAGGACGCCTACGCTATGTCAAGGAGGTTGGACTCTTTCACCACAGAGACACTTGCAGATGGTTCCCCAGCAGCCACTCTGATTTTTGGTATCATGACAGGTTTACTCCTGCCGAAGACAGAAAAAATTTGAAAAGCAAAAAAAATAGAAAAATGAAAAAAAATTAAAGGAAAAGAAGGTTTACCGTGTGAGGTAGCGAAATTCTGTAGAAATTTCAAGAACAAATATATAAATATTATATAAATAATTAATTTTTTTTGACTCAGAGCGATTCGCAGACCCGACTGTTCACATTCGTTTGTAGCATAAATGAAGGATAAATTTCAAAGAAAATTTCTTTAATGGTTTTTCTTATGTTGCGATCGAGGGCGCTTCAAATTACGGATTTTAGAAGGAAAAATGAATTAGTGGATCAATTTTATAAATTGGTTTTTTGATAATAAATCACACTTTTATCCTCATTCCCTTTTTGTTCAAACTATTAGAACACTTATCGTAAATGCAGAGTTTTCAAGCTTTCAGTTACTCAATATTTGCAGATGTTTTTTATCAACTTTTTAAAAGGCTTTTATTATTTCTCTTATTATGTTGATAAGGAAGGTTTTAATTTGGAATAATGAAGTTGAAATGCTTATGATAGTTTATTTTGGGTGCCATTAGACAATTTATTTGATGTTTTATAGGTTTATTCTCGGTGGAAGATTTCGAGCTAATAATCTGAACAATAGCCACTCGATTACCTTGCAAAGGTATTCCATAGGTATCCATTAAAAGGCCTAGTTATTGCATGGAAAGGCCAAGAAAGGAAGTTTTTGCTTCTATGATATCAATTTTAACCACTATTTCAGTTTTTAATGGAATAGATTATCTAATCGGCAAAAATTGTATTTGATAGATCACTAAAATGGATAATAATCTGAAAAGATTACTAAAAAATTTCAAATCTAAATTTTGCACATGTTGAATGAAAGAATTTAAAATATCATCAAGCATTTTTCACCTCCAGAAAATGTTTTATTTATTGCTACACTGCTGTGAATCATTATTTTCTAAGTATGAATCGACTCTTGGTCGATGGATGGATTGTAACTGTTTAATATTCATTTTCAAGTCGTAGCTATTATGACTGGTTTTATAGCCACAAATTTTCTTGTCATAATCTTTAGAGTTTAAAATGCAAGTACAAGCTTTAGAAAATTCTTCCTTTTACTGCACTTACCACTTCTGATTCGGATGATTTCATGGTCTCTTTTCTTCGGAAAGATCCCTTCGCCAGAGAAAAAGGAATGAATTAGAAAAAACTTGTATGTTGGACATTAAGCACAGCGCTAGCTTGATCTTTGTCAAAGCGAAACGTTTTCCACTCTAGAAATTATTTCTTTTATGGTATATCTATCAACTTTTTCCCTTCTTATAAATTATTTTCACCATAATCCTCGTCCGTTCTCCCCTCTATATTCGCAATTCTCAATCGATGCGTACGTTTGTTTTTGTTAAAATTATAAAATATTTCGCAAAATTTTGTTAGTTTTTCATTTCTTCCCAAAAATTGTTTGTTTATTAACTTTTAGCCCTAATTCACCGTTAACCGAGCTGAATTGCTTATACCGCTATCTTCGATTAGCTTAATTTCATACTTTATATTCATTTATCACAACAGTCTTTTGAATTCTTTACATTTAAGCTTAAATCTTTTTTAATTTTTTTTAATATTTTATTTATTTTTATTTTATTAATTTTAATATTAAATCGACTTCTTAATTTTCCAGATTATGCTGGAATTACTTAATAATCTTAATAGAATGGATATTTAAAGTTAGCTCCTAATGTTACCGAAGATATACTTGCATCCCCAGTAATTCTAAAATAATACCCCATCTTATTTTACCAACGCAAAAATGGTTTAAGGATCTTTAAAAAAATTGCATCGTAAGAGCGAAATTACTGTGAAAAAATATTAGATGAGATTTTTGATTATTTCATGCAAACTAATTTGTTAATATCATATCATGTTGTATCATATTGTGATGCATGAAAGAAAATATGTCAGTGCTTTTAATAAATATTTAATCGGACTAATTAATATCTTATCAGTTACCAGAAAAAAAACATTTACTCATTTCATTACTGTGTCAGACTTCATGCTTCACTAATGGAAAATAATATCATTTGCGGTGGATTTTTTTAAAAATTGATTACAGTTGAACGTTTATACCTTCAGATTCTTTTTTGGAATTGTCTATGAAATAAGACACAATGATTTTTTATATATATTTTGAGAAGTATTGAGAAATATTGAGAAGTTATACAAATAAAATCTAGAATATGATAATCTATGGCTATCTTTGTATGGCAATGCTTATATGACTTATTCTTTATGACATTTTTCTTTTATTTAGTGAAAAATTATGAATGGATCGAGGAAGTCGTTGTAGAACTTCTAACTCTCTTTTCATTTTATTCAAATCTCTGTAATGGCTCGAAATATTCAATAATACTTTTTAGACCATACCATAGAAATACCAAAGATATTTGTAGCAAGATGTCAAAGGAATAAAGGAGTTGAGAAAATGCAATCCCACTATGGTAGTACATTGTTTAGTGAGTATGTATGATACTTTCATGTGTCTTTATTATGTTGTGCTGGAGTAATCATCATTGAATGAACTTAGGTTTTTTTGTAGATTGCATTTTATTTCATTTCACTTTACTTCTAATAATTATTCAACTGTTTCTTTTCCGAACTTTTTATTTTAACTGAAAACATCAGTGCATACACCTATTTTTAACCAAATTTCGATGAAAAAGGTCATATAAATTATCAGTTCCAATTTCAAAAATATTTGAAATTCCATGATATTTTATGGATGATTTCGTTAAAATTTTTTTCGTAATTTCAGATACATTGAACGACAAGGCGTTACTTTATTATCAAAGCTGTACTAACAATAGATACATTCAAGTATAGAATTTCGCCTTTTGTTGAGACTGTTCAGGCTTGTATTATTGTAATGTTTCATCTTGTAAATTTTCTTTATATCATCACGACTTTTAGTCCAGCTCTCGTCTGGCCTTTTTTTTACTCAGCCTGTTATATTTCTGTAAATTGAATATATAAGAAAAAATTTTATAATTATTAGTTTTTATTAGTTATTAATTTTATAATTATAATTTTATAATTGAATATACTGGTGTATGCTACCTTGTTGAACAACATATACGAAATGAATTATTAGCCTGAACATCAGTTATAGAACGGTTTATTATTGGAAAATATAAAGATTCTTTGGATAATTTCCAATAATTCAAAAATAGTGAAATAAATATCATATAATCAATGCAATATATGTGATTTCCAGGCTAAAGAAACAGCTAATAAAGAAATAAGATGGATATCGCAACTCTGGCCAATATTATCAATCCAACTACACTTTCTGATTTTCGAGTGAGATCATCGAACTGCAAATAATTTATAAAGAAACAGTGTAAAAGATCGATTCTAAAACTGGAAATCTTTGCTCAATATATATTCCATTTATCATCAATTTTCTTCACTTTATATACTGAAATTATAATAAACCTTAAAGATATTTTTCAGGCACAAGTCTTATGGGCACTAATTGCTGGCATCATATTAGCCTTTATTCTTGGCTTTGCAATGGGCGCAAATGATGTTGCCAATGCCTTCGGTACCTCAGTAGGTAGCAAGGTACTTACCCTTAAGCAGGCATATATTTTGGCAGTCATATTTGAAAGCCTTGGGGCTTTACTAGTGGGTAAGTTTGCCAGTTCTGCAGATTTTTGATGGAAAAAGGGCTTAATAGTCAGAACGACAGGTAATAATAAGTCTAGCTTAAAACCCATTTCAAAATAACGAAGTCTGCACTAAAAGACGATCATTTGTTTTAAAGTTGTTCAAAAATTATAAAACCGTTGAGGAAAGCCCAGTTAAAATGGAATGAGTTTGATCATTCTTTTACAATATCACTTTAGGGTATAACGTGACCGATACGGTTCGTAAATCAGTTGTCAACATTGAGCTGTACAATAATACGCCTAAAGATTTGCTTGTTGGTCAGGTTGCCATACTTGGAGGTTAGTTCAGTCATCATAAATTAGTAGTTAATTTCGAGTATTCCTTTGTCTTATAAATAATTACTTTAAGGCTGTTCCACTTGGCTTCTAATAGCAACTTTTGCTCATATGCCTGTATCGACAACGCATAGTATAGTTGGTTCAACATTAGGTTTTGGATTGGTCATGAAAGGCAATCACGGTATACACTGGCGAAAAATCATAGAGATAGGTGCGTCGCACTTTTAAAATATTTTTATATCTTTAAGGATTCCTTAAAATTTAATTATTTTTTTATTTCTGTGACTTCATATTTTCTTATATTTAAAAAAAAAAAAACTTTCTTGATCAGTTCTTGATCAGATGAGCAAAACTCTTAGCATTTTCTTTATAGGAAATCCTGAAAACTTGGTTTCGAACTAGGCCACTGAGATGAGGAAGTAGTATTTATAATTTTTCTTCGCAGGAAAGTCCGAATTATTTCAGTTTCATCTTGGTTCATTTCACCGATTTTTTCTGGTTTCGTATCCTGTGTTTTATATATTATAGTAGATTTTGCCGTATTACGGCGGGTAAGTCTCACTACATTCTATTAAATCTATCGCTGTTTGATTTAACTATTTGCAAAGTTATATTAACAAATATAAGCAAATTCTAAAGAACTACAAAGTCGTTTTTGACACGTTTAACGAATTTCAAAATAGGAAAAATACATTTGACAGAATTTTAAACAATCAATCAAACTTTTAAAAAGAGTTATTGATGATTTCAAGACAATAGGAAGTTTTTCAATTATCATTTCCAGAAAAATCCATTTCGTTGCGGCCTTACTGCTTTACCTATTTTTTATTGGTTTTGCTTTGCGTTCAACGTATTTGTGGTCAGTTATCAAGGATCAAAAAGTTAGAGCTTACTTACGAATAACTTAAGAACTGATGTATTTAGCATGCTTTTTTTAGCTCTACAAATTTACTTCCTATGCAATTATCGAACTGCATTTATCGAATTAATTCTGATAAACAGAAATGTAGTCACTAATTTTTTTAACATAGCATTTTATTGTTCTATACTTTCTCACTTACTACATTTCGCCTTAATTTTTTATTCATGAGGCTTAAAACAAGTCAAAGTAAATAAGCGGCAGCATTTCTGGTTAGATTCGTTATATTGGCTGCTAAATCGGTTAGAAATTTTTGTCAGAGATTTACTTAGCGATAAAAGTACAAGTGCGACATCCTTGCCATCCTGATTTTTAATGACAGGACAATTATTTGTTGGCAAAAAACTCCTCTCAGTTGGATAATCTGCCTACTCCACTGCATGGATGACAAGATTCCAGTTTTCTTAATTCGATTGGTATTTGTATTTTTCTGGTGGAAAAATTTTGTTTTCTTATTTTCGTTATTCGGCAATATTTGTAATTATTTCTCTATCATTAATTTTTAAAACTGTATTTAAATTACAGTAGTGCATTTGCCAAGCTTATCGTTATGGATATCCGTTGGCCTTAGCGTTGGTTTAGCTACATTTGGCTCGTTGCTCATATATTTTATACTCATTCCACGTTTAAAAACCAATATTGCTGGTGAAATTTTAATCTTCATTTGTTGACAACTTGATGCTCGAATCTTGGCATAATGGCCAAACAGATTTCTTCATGAATCAAGTCAATATTTTTTTAAAGATGAAATGAAACGACGTTCAACGTGCATAGAAAATTCAATATCTTCGTCTTTACCATCTGCTATTTCTATAGGACAAACCGAAATCAACCGCATCGCAAAGCATGATCGTATGCATATTTTAAAATTCAGTTCTTTCAAACAAAGTTGATAATAAATGAGATGAACTCGTCTAATTTATTTAAATATAATATCTTTATAGTTTTTGATAAGTTTAAGTGGAGAAATGGAGTGGAATTGATAGCAACAGTAAATTGTAAGGAGGTAAGTGTTCTCACCGTAAATGCTCCCCGTTTCTTTCTACTTAGGTTTGCTCCACTGTTAGAACAGTGAGGAATTTTTGCCAGTGTCACGGGTAGTGTATAGTTGCCAATTAATGACAAGTTTATTCTTACCAGCAGAAGGAGAACCTTGAGGTTCGACTCGGCCATCCTGATACCTATGATATTAAAATGTATATTATGTACAGTGCGAAATTTTTTCATATTATTGTTTTTTTTCCTTAGTTTTCTTACATAAATAATTTTTTTATCCCAGATTTGATGGTTATTGTAAAAAATAGTGATTTGAAGAAAAGTCAAAAATCACAATTGGAAACAGAATCATTTTTTGACAGAAAACTTAAAGGTTATTTTTTACATAAGTGCATTATGAAATGTTAATATTTAATTAGGAAATATCTGTTTTTGGATTATTCATTTGTATTTAGACTGTTGTCGTTCCTTTGTACAACAAGATAAATTCAATCGTCTCTCGTTTGTCGGTAGTCTGTTCCATTCTTTCCACAGTTTTATCGTGATAATCTTTAATAATTTTAAAGCTACTTTAAGTTATCAAATCGCTGATACAATTTTTACTTCCGAAACGTAACGGTGAGCCAGATGTGAACACACTGAAAATTTTCAGTTCAATTCAGGCGTTTACAGCTTGTTTTGCTGGCTTCGCGCATGGTGCTAATGATGTGAGGTATGTATCTTATTGTGAAAACCACTTTTATCTAATTCAATTTAGCAGCAAAAGAAACCATAACCAAGAAATCGAATTTAATCGATTGCATTGGCGATCAATTTTAAAAAAATTATCTTATATATGTAAATTATTTAGGTATGTATATATCTTCTTTAATCAATAGAAGTTTATAAATCACTTCGGGAAGTTGGGGATTTTCGTAAAGAAAATTGAATTTTCCAGCTTTAATTATTGGCTTCCAGCAATTCGATCGCGCCGCTTGCGGCTTTACTATTCATATACAGAACAATGGAAACTAACCAAAAGGAAGAAACACCGATCTATGTTCTTATATTTGGTGTAGTATCTATTTGTTCAGGTCTTATCATTCTTGGGCATCGCGTTATACAGACAGTTGGTACAAGAATGTCAACAATAAATCCTGCTAGGTAGACATAAGTAAAAGTTCACAAATATGCTTCAAGATCATAGAATATTGTAGACAAAGAATCTTTTGAATTTTTACTGATAAATAAAATCATTAAGCATATTATGGGCCTATTCATATGATATATTTTGAAATATATTATAGTGGAAAATCTTATAATAAATATAGTTATTATTTGTTATTATCGTTTTTTTAAAATTTTTTTAATAATTTAATTTTTCTTGTGACATTTTTTTTCGACAAAGATTAAACTTTATTGAAATTTTCTCTAATTTAGCGGATTCTCGATAGAATTTGGTGCCGCAGTGACTACTCTGGTAGCAAGTAAAATTGGTTTGCCGATTAGTACTACGCATGCTTTGGTCAGGCTAATTTCTGATTTCTCGTTTGACGAATTATAAAAATATACGTAAAGTTTTTATAAACTATAGGTTGGCAGTGTTGTTGCTGTTGGTTCGATTAGATCGAATGAAGGCGTTAAATGGAAAATCTTTCGTGATGTCGCTTTATCCTGGGTTGTCACCCTTCCTATATCAGGCATATTTGATTTTACAAAAGTTTTCGCATCTTCATTTTTGCTTTGATATAAGTTTAAAAAATTGGAAATAACACATTTGCTTTGGTGGGAATGTAACAAAACAGAAAGTAATAAAATTCCACCTTGAATCATACTTGAGAATTAGGTTGAGCCCTATTTCATGTGCACATTATACTAACTATTTTTAAAACTATTTACCAAAACGTTTTTATAGCATTTTTAATTGCCACATGTTATGAATTTAATTTAGATTTGATCTCGGATATATTCGAAAAATTTATAACAAAACTGATTTCAGGCTTGATATCAGCTGGTCTAATGTTTCTCATTAAAAAAACGCTGATATGAATAAATTTCATATCTTTGGATTATTCCATTTTCTTGTGAAAATCCTATTTTAGCAAGTGCCTTGATTTGTTCACTGTTAATTTGTCGAAAGCATTATAATACAAGAGAATCATGCAAAATCACCGAAAGATCAAAAGTTATTAGCTCTATTTACTGTTGATATTTTTTGTTCATGAATAAGACTGGCTACTCTTTCGTTATTTCGATTTTCAAAAATAAAATTGAAAAGGTTTCATTTCAAGAAACTTCGCAAAGCCTTCGAAATTTTTTGCCATATCGGCGTATCGTAGTCAATATTCCTGAATGAACAAGTCTTCTCATGGTTAACCTTAAACTTGTTTTTTTTCTGTTTCCTGGTAAAATAAATAAATTGATTCTTCTTCGCAATGTCAGAACAATGTATATATACTTATTTCACTTTAAAAATATTCTTCATAAAATTCTTATTATGATGTTTTTCGATCAAAGCACGTGGATTCTATTTCTTTTTCTAATTTGCCTAGCTCCATTGACTATAAGGATGGACATAAACATTTCATCAAGAAGTCGTTTAAGGATAGGTAGAGGATCATTTGAAAATATCGCTGTGTTCCTTAACACCACTTGTGTACTTACAAATTGCTATTTAAAGCGAAATCATGTCAACATTCATCAGAAATTTGCTTGTTGTGATAAATTAATTAATTGAGGCGTTTGAAGAATTAATTTTGTAGTTACTGCAGCACTGCGCTTATTTTCAATGTCTTTTTGTATCCTTTTTGCAAATTGGTATAATCCTTATTTGCATAAAATTTGCAATTAAGCTTAGGCTCGTCATGAAATTCATGAAATGAAATTTTCCGTATTATATGAAAAAATTAAAACGAAGCACAAATTTCGTATATTAGAGCCAAAAAAATTTCTAATTCTAAAAATTTTTATTCTAAATTTTTATTTTTATTTTATTCAAATGGTGAAATGGAAGTGCGATGGTCATTAGATTTCGCATCTAAATTCTGAAACCTGACCTAGCAAGATTTTTTCGAATTTATTTTATTTTTGATTATTTTCTAGTTTAATTTAGCAAATTTTCCATCATTCATAAATATCATTGGATTTTCGTAGTTCTTGTTGCTAATTTTGGAGCGCCCATCTATTTGGAGCTCGTTGGGATAAACTTGTTGGAAAATTAGAGTGACGCTGGCGACTCACATCTATTTCTATGGTGTCCTATGTTCCATTATTGAGGACTAGTCTAAGGTCATGAAATTCCAAAAAAATTATTAGGCCGAATCTGCGATTCATATGAATTTATATAGAGTTGACAAGAAGCAGAAAAGGTTGATTTGTGTAGGTGGAAGCATAGTGACATTTGACAACAAACATTCCCGTGATCTGGTTTTCTTCAGCAACTCCGTTTGTTAATTTTCTTATTCCATTCATATAGCTTACTTAAGCTGTATTTCGCTTACAAATTCATTCAGTTCCCATCGATCGAATAGTTGTATTGACGATAGACGATTCTTGTATGTGCTTTTCAAGTACCGTATTTTTAAAATTATTTTAAAATTATCTTTTTACATATTTTCCACTATACAAGAAGATTTCAATTTTTATATTTCAAATGCCTACAGTGATAATATCTAAAGCTGAAAATATTTGAAGAAGAGCGTTTTTATGGAAACTATGGTATTTTGAAAAAACTTTGAGGCATTCGATCTTCAATTTTTTCTGTTCTATTGCACCTTTATAGCGAGTATGCACTTGTGATAATGTCATCTCTCCATTTGTGTTTTTATGTTATCGTGATGTATTCGATTCTTTTCTTCTTCTATTTGCTATATAATATTATTGTTCCTTAGGCTTATTTATTTTGCATTGACTTGCATTTGATTTTATTATTCTGACGGTTTTCTTTTTTGTTAAGCTAACCATTTAAGCTTTTCATAGGCACTAGAATTGTCTTATCGAAGTGAGTTGATCGTAACTGTAACTTATTTTTATTGAACTTTATTGGTGTCAATTTAGGAGAGCAGTAATAATCAAAATGGATCGTTATAATTTGCCTCCATATCATCTACAATCAAATTTGAACATTGATACGGGATCTTCAAGTGATCTTGTTTATCATCCGAAATCACATCTGAGCCCACTCACTAAAGTAATTTCTTCTCGTGCACTTTTATGTATAATATGAAATATTGGTTTAAAATAGAAGTTCACTGGAAATTTAATGAAATTTCAATTTTATATGTTGAATTATAAGATTGCAGCCAAATAAAACGATTAAAAGGACTATCTATGCCTAAGGAATGAATTTTAAATTTTGAAAAACTAGTAACATTTTTTATCAACTTTTGTTCACTTTTTTTAATTAACTAATGTGAATAACTTTATTGTTTAGGATACCGATTATCATAAGAAAAATTTAATTTAATATATTTTGCAGCAAGTAAATCAAATGGCTTATGAAATTCCTCATAACAAATATGCTAGAAATCCTTGGAGCTATGCACCTGAATTTCTTAAAGTATTTGGTGATGTGAAAATGCACATAGGGGGCCGTGTAATATTTGATTGCGTCCTTCTCGGCTCACCAAGACCCAAGGCATTTTTTTAGACAAATTTTCTATTCATTTTAACCTTATTCAATTGTTCAAATGATGCATAATCGGCTTTATTGAAGGAATTCAATGAGTTATTTCAAAATAATTTTAAAATGTGCGAAATAATTCTGAAATATGCCTGCGTAGCTAGAATTATTAATAATAGCCAGAAATGAATAAATTCAACTCATATTTGCAGTACCATTTTACATATCTATAACCATTTTTTAGGTCAACTGGCGGATCATTAGCAAAATAAGATGAATTATATTATCCAACATTTATTCAAAAGTTTGTATATTTTTTGCAGCTTTTCAGTATTGTAGGTGTGTTGGCTTTTTAATGAAGAACCTATAAAGTTCGCGGACGTCAAGGTCGATGATACAGCAGATTTGTGCAGGCTTACGATAACCTCTGTGCAACCTCATCATTATGGTGAATATACAGTAATATGCGAAAATGAAATTGGCCGCGCGGTTACTTCAGCTTTATTACTTCCTCAGTAACATCGACACAAAATATGAAAAATTTGTTGAAGAACTTAGAGATATGTCGTTGTTTCTTCACAAATATTAACTAGCCTTATTTTAACCATTTTAAGAGCAGCAATTTCATAAAGTTTTAAAGAATTCTATAAAGATATAAAGTGATATCAAGATTTTTGAAATTTTAGCATTTTTTGCTTTTTAACTTCGGCCAAGTCAATAAGCGAATAAGAAAAAACGCCGTTTCTTATTTATCCAAAAAATATCTCAATGCTTCGGATTCAAGAAAAATTTTCGACTCTTCTTGCAAAATTCTTTGGCAAAAGCAAAATGTGTTGCTGATTAAGTTAAAAATAAGAACACTGAAGCAGAAATGTTTTAAAATGTTTTGTGTAAATGTACATATACTAGAATATGCCAAATAATATTAGTGCGAAAAGTACAAGAGCAAATTCATCAAAAAGATGCAAACTAAGAAAACAGTTCGAAACCAACGAATGTATAGAAAAAAATTCAACGATTATATAGAAAAAAATTCCTTTCTCCCATCAATTTATTCGTTTTCTTAACTATTCATTCTAAAATTATGAAACTAAGAAACATATTTCTTCTCTTTTATGCACTAAAATAAGTAAGAATCAATTGTAAGGGAAGGTAAATTATAAATTATAACTTATTTTTTTTTGGCTGGCATTATCGAGTTAAACAAAATGGCTCTCTCGGGCAAAATTTTTCTATTGTATTATAGTAACGCCTGATTTGCAAATCACCATTTTAAACTGAATTATGTCGCTTATTCAGGTTTTACAAATTCAAGTATTCCGTGGATATTTAACCATTATGAATGCGAAAATAGAGAAGTTTTTATATTTACGAAGAGAGAAAAGCTATTAAGAATTTAGACTAATGGCCGAATTTCGTTTCGAATCCAATTCAAGAAAAAACGTTTCAATAGGTTCAAGAACACCTTTAACTCGCATCATACCCCGGCTTTGCATTACATAGCATCCTTTTCGTAATATTTTAGCCATTTCATTAGTCATCTGCAAGATATAAACTGGAAATTCCTTTTTTCCTTCTAAATCATTGTTCACGAGTTTATGCATCGAAATTATAGTAAAATTAGGCGAATTTTGACGGACATAATTACAATATGTCTATTGAATCGAATGTGCCCAAACAACCATAAAACTAACATGTATTTTACGTGGTTCGCCATACGAATCCATTCTGCTGGCCAAATTCACCGTATTACCCCATATATCATATTGAGGCTTTTGTGCACCAATTACGCCAGCCACAAGAGGTCCACAACTCATACCTGAATTTTCCTGAATTTTCTTTACTTTCTTTAGCAAATTTTTAATTGCATTCACAATGGATCCAAAATTACGATTGCGATTTCGACAGGATTTAAAATTTTTCACTCAAATTGTTTTGATACGAATATAGCATTACCTATACGCAGCTCAAAATTCTGAAATGAATCTCGATTGAGTTGGTCAAGGATTGAATTCATTGCCATTGCAAATTCGACCATAATTGAAGCATTTCGAAATGCCTATTAATGAAGCAGATAGATAGATAAACGCCTTCAGAAAATAGCAAAATATGAAATAACGCTTAAAAAAAGGATTTAATAGCTTTTCAATAAAATCAAAGTTGATCATCATAGATCATCAAAGTTCACATTCATATTTCTTTTAAAAAAAATAAGTATATGGAACAGAATGTATTCACCAGATTTTCTAATTTTTTGGAGCCGATCTCCACTGAAGCATCGATGAATTCCTGAAAATATCGTGTACTATGGGCAATAAGAATATTATGGATGTTGAGAATAAAAGGGTCGAGGTGGCGCTTGGATAATTCTACAAAAGAAATGTAAAGTAAGCCTTCACTTATGATTATGTTTAATAGAAAGATGATTGCCATCAAACAATGATCATCATTAATTTAGGCGAAAATTCGTGTTGACTTTATGACAAAAAAACGAAAAATAATATGATTTAATCGAAATTGAAACTTGTTTTAGCGCCTAGAATTAACATTAATTTAAATAATTTAACCCTCGAAATAATATCAACTAACGTAATCATCGAAATTTTCCTGTTCATTGAGACCCGATGCTGCCATATAAGTGCTTGCTACGGTTTTGATTTTTTCAATACAACTAAATTTTGGCTTCGATAATAACTGAAAAAAAAATTCACAGCAAAGCACCTCTTCATCATTCTGCTTGTCTAATGGAAAGTATCAAAGCAGCTAAAGCTGTCGTTATAGTAGTAGTTGTTTTACTATCTATGATGGTTAAAATAGCGAAATAATATTTTCAACTGGCGCATGACAACTTCGACTAACCTTGTCAAACTCGCAAATAATCTCATTAAGTAGTCGAAGACATTCAAGCTTACGTGATGTACCCCATTCGCTCCAAAAATCTTTAAAGTTCGGGATGCTTGCAAACATTACGCAAACATTGTCATGTCCTCGAGCATATATATCCTGTAACAATGACTTTTACTCTACTACATTTCAAACAAATCAATAAGGGAGCAAGTGGAGTTCCAGAAAAAATTTGGTGTATCAAAAGATCTCTCTCTCGCCTCTAGAAATAAATTTATCATCAAATATTATATTTAAGCCCCTAGATCACAACCAATGGATTTATGCAAATATATTCCAAAAATCGACTGGGATCAAGAAATTCAAAAACAATAAGTTAAGCCCTTTAAAAAAACGAAGGAAACAACTGCTTCGATAAATAAACTATGGTAAAAATTTGCACTTTGATATTTAAAAGGATTAAAGGGAAAAGATAAAATAAAAGATTACAAAATATACAAGATAAAGCGATCGTCTAACTGCCCAAAACTTTAGAAACACAGGAATGAATAAAACATACATCTACAAATCGGTTCGAGTCAAGAAATTTAACAGCAACATTAGATGGTAAAATATTTTCGATCAGTAATTTATTGATATCCTGCATTGTTGTTACTTCACGTTCTTCATTCTTGAATGAAACGTTACATGCTGCTTCAACCTTTCGCTCATAATTTATCTAAATTCAAACAACAGATTGGTGATAAGTAATTTTATTCTTAAATTTATTCTAAAATTGTCATGAAATCCTGAAAATCTGCTATCTTATATTTCTAGAAATGAAATATTCATGAATAATAACAAAGAAATTTTCAATAACAAAGGTTCTTCAGGTCAAAATTAAGCCAAATTTTTGGCAAGAACAATAGAAAAAAATTGCTTTAAAATATCTTCTTGATAATCTGGAAACTTTACATTAAACATTACATCAAAATATTCGTAAAACTTACAATCCAATCAATAAAAAGTAGCAGTAAAAAAGTGAAGATCATATCAACGCAAATAACGGTCAAGGTATAGCTGAAAAATGGCTTTATTTCTTTTATTTGGCGTATCATCAAAAAAATCCATTACTATCTAAATTTAAAAAATATTAGACGAAGATAAGATAATGTGGATAAAATATCGGTTCCGATCCTTATGCGTGACAGCAATCTGCACAAAATTAATTTAGAGGTCAGTAAATAAGGCAAAAAAATTTTTACCCCGTAGTTTGAGGAGAATTTTGAGTTGAAGAAAATAGGCATAGAATTAAAATAAAAACTGTGAAATCTGCCGCAACAAAGAAACATCGAGATGCATATGGTAATCGATTGAGTACAAAAACTGTTGAAAGATGTACAATACATCCTTAAATACTGTTCGGTAGGCTAATGGAAAATAAATGATGTTTAAACCAATTTGCTTTGCTGGTCCTATTTTGCTGGTCTAATAGTGGTTTTGGCTGAATGAGGAAGGAACTTGTTTCCTCTGCTTTCTCGAATAAATTTCGAGAACACATTTCAAGTCGAGCAATATATGAACTATCAAGAATAAATGGAATCGCGAACCAAATCACACATGGTAATCTTAAAAATGCTCTAGAACAATCTTTACACGAAAAAATTTGTAAAATAATGTGTAAATTTGTAATGAAATAACGAAATAGCGAGCAATGAAGTCGCGAAACATCATTATTGCCCTTTAACATTCCTTAAAGTCCCAATTTTTTCTCAGGGTGCTCATCTGACTAAACAGATTTTGTCAGAGAGCCATTTAATATTAGACGTGGACCGCTAGTCTGGATTTTTGGAAAACAGGTTTACTTGCTGAGTAGAATCTTAACATTGGCGCTTTGGAATGACGGCAACAACTACCGAACCATTGCATTCCGAAACCCCAATTCGCCCTTTTGCCGCAATCCTTTAGTAAATTGTTTTACGATTTGTATATGGGTTTAAAAAACTAAAGCTAGGGGCAGAAAAATAGAAAAGAATTTATTGAAACATTAGACTAATAATAATCAACAACCGAAACGATCTGAAATAGTAAGGAAAAACTACGAAAATACCTGGAAGCCAAAGTACCGATGAATTTGACGCAACTGGATGCGAGAAAATAGTGTAAATGATCTACAAAAAAATTCATTATATGACATGCATACTTTAACTATTTATTGTGAAAAAGTTTTTTTTCAACAAAAGATTTGATAATACGAGAAAAGATTGATTCTCTAGCAATCACCTAAACCACTAAATATCCTCTTATGCTAATTGTTGACTGTTATAGAAACAAAATATAAAATGATTCACGTCTACAGACTAATTGATGTTAGAGCAATTTAATAATAATTTCAATTTATTATACATTCCAATATTAAAAATTCAAGAAAATTGTTAATGTTCAGTCTCGAGCGTCAATGTTCTTACTCCGCCTAAGATATAAGTAAATCTGTAATAATTTTTAAATCTCTCGTACTTTCACGGTACAGAGTGGAATAATTCATTGATAAAACTTTAACTCTTAAAAAGAAGTGCTAATTTTGCATTTTCAGAATAATTATTGCAAAAAACTTTCCATTAAATACTAACATGAGCAGAAATAGAGGAAAAAGAAGTTAAAGCAAACGACAAAAGAATACAAAAATTGTGTGCAATAACACATAGCTGATCAACAATGGAAATAACTATTAATATTGCAGTCGATAAACCAACTTCTATAAAAAGAAACGCACGAATCGAAACCCTGCAAATTCTGGCTGATTTCTCATCGGCAATTTCCAGTAAGTTCTAATTTTAGTATAACCAGGATCTAATAAAAAGGCATTTAATATGAACGTATTGTTCATCGAGTAACAACAATTTTTTATTGGAAATTTGAAATCGAGCGATGGAAATTGGTACTTCTTAGGCAAACAATCGAATAACTAACGGATGATGCGCAAAAATGATGAATAGTTGTGAAATGCTGAGCAAAATATGAAGAAAAAAGAGGACTATGCAGTCGGACAAACCACATATTACTGATTTTGAACTGAAAAAATTCTTTAGTTTCTTTGCAACACAAAAAAAACTTTCAAAAATTCCCACAAGATGTATAAGACTGGCAATTAAAAAAAATTTCACGGGATTATCCACTATTTATTCTGTTATTGTTTAGAAAATTATAGACGTAATAAACGAAATTAGAAGCAAGACGGCTAATTTATGAGTAGAAATGAGTAGGAGTAGAATGGCTTGATGGATTGTTGCTCTTATTTGGGAATGCGATGCTGAGTTACTTTATACTTTGGGTGATATCTTGACTCATCTCAAGTGACTTCCGAGCAAAATCTCGCTCGACAGGCCAGCAGAATATTCCCAATCAAAAATGATGAACTCTCAGAAAAAAAAATATTCAGATAGATAATTAAATAATTAAACAATGGTTTACCTGAATGGCCAAAGTAAATAAGGTGAGCCAATTGCAGTAGGATTTTTGCACTTAATGAAAGCGCTGAAGCTGTAATAATAACAGGTATAATATGATGTATAATGCTTATAAAGCTATTATCGAGTAAATTAAATTAGATTAAATTTTTGAAAAAATTTTAACGTTTTAAAATTTAATATTGAAATTAATATTAAATTATTTAATATTAAAATTTAATATTGTTTAGCATCACTGATTTCATTAATTCATTACCAACTCCTCAACGATAAAAAATTAAGGGCCATAACGGGTTTTTCAATATAAAATCACTTTAAAAAATAACTAACAAACGAATTGATGGAGCTTACTTTCTAAGTGAAAAATTCGCAAGATTGTTTTCAATAAGTGTCATACTTTGCACAGTATTCAAATACTGAGGTCTTCTTGCAAGGTCTTTTACCTTAAAATTACGCCTAAAGTATTTTTTACCTCATTTATATAAACCTCCAGCTATGAGAAGTAAGGGTGCCAATCAGAAATATAAATCCCTTTCTCCAATATGACGAAAAAGTATGATTAATCGGTTATGTGTTTATGGAAAGTCATTCAGGTTAAAAGATTCTATTAGGCCAAATGCGAACCTGAGGCGATTCACTTTCAGCTTGGGGTGAAATTCGTTTCGGCATTCCTACAAAAGGTGCTTCTGCACCCCAAACTTCCGCCATTTTAGATACCTTTGATTTCATTGATAAGCGAGTAAAACCGTTTTTTGAAAATTTTGTCATTTTATCATATCCACTTTCTTTAGGTTGACTCCTGAAATTTATAAAGAATTAAATAAAGAATTTTTAAAAAAATTTATGTTGAATTAAAAATTGGCGCTCAAAATTAAAATGTTTTTATATTAAGTAACATTGGTTCATCAAAATTTTTGCCAGAGAATATGACATGGTATAAAAGACATTGCTAACAGAGATGGATCTAACAAATTTATAATATTTTAATTTGAAGTATGTATTTCCCTGTTAATTTAATAAATAAAAAATCAACATGACCACAATAATCGGTTCAATTTGGCATAAAATGATAAACAGTGGTATTTTTTGTTCATTTAAGAAATGCGATACAAAAATTGTTAAAAAACCTACATGATTTTGTAAATAGATGCCGTTCTTTGAGGTGCAGTTTTTTCATCCGGCAGAATATGATAAGTAGGGAGGCCTAGCGCAACAAGCGTTGGATCGTTAGAACTAAATCACTAATAAAAGTTTAATTCATTGTCACATCATAGTTTTTTACCTAAGGTAATGAAATGATTGCTTAAAAAACATTCAACAAAAATAATAAACGAATTATCCTACAAAAAAATTATTTTATTTTGGATAAGCTAAATGAGATGCCCATAAAAATTATGCTATTCATAAGAAATGTCAGGTTTTCTATAAATACTTTTAAGCTCGAGTAGTATACACATCGCATAAATTATGCTATATTACGCAAATTCAGATAGATTCTCAGCTATAATCGGCATAATTGTGATGAAAAAGGCTTACTATGCTTCAACAATGTTGTATTCACCTAAGAGTGATTCTTTTGTAGCTTTGGTGATGTGTACAGCCCTGAAATGAAGAACTAGACTATGGATTTATGGCTTATATGGACATGTAGATCTGAATTGGATTAAAGTATCTGCATAAATTAACCAAAAAAACAAGGGCGGGATTGATTACATACATAATGGTAAACCTGAATGATGAATGCTAAGTTCGAATGAATATCAGAATTTAAAAAATGGAGCAGATGAATGAGGAACCTAGTATTGAGCGGGAAGGGAGGAGAACAATTCTCGGCGGCGAAAAATCATCTTAGCTCTCCACACCATTTATTTTTTCAAAAAAAAGCACGGCAAGCTAAACTCATTTGTCACATAAGTCATTTAAAGAATTTGGCATTAAGGAACCTTACCCTGCTATTCCAGATGATTCCATATGATTCGCCAGAGTAACGTCATCGCTCCATATATCGAATTGCCATTTGCGAAGTCCGAGTACTCCGCAAAGTACTGAACCTGTATGAACTCCTATTCGCATGTTTACATCAACTCCAGTTGCATCTCGAACTTGCCTAGAAATATTTTATAGTTGTAATCCAGCAGTTCGCAATTTCATCTGCGTGATGAGCGGCATCATTCTTCAAAACAAATTCACTAAGTTTAAATAACATAAATTAATGCAAAAATGTTGTCGGAAACTTCACTTTATGGTTTTAATCATCTCTAGGCCCATAACCACACACATATCTGCATGATTAGGCCTGTTTACAGGCATTCCGCTAACGCAGTAATAACAATCACCAAGAAATTTTATTCGCATACATTGCAGTTTCTGAAAAATGGTATAATTTCAGTGAACATGTATATAAATAAGCATCAGTTTGTCCAAGACAAAAGCAAGTCGTTCATCAACATAATATCGCCATTTAAAATCAGCTAAAATTGAAATTAAAATTTATTCAACAATTCTTTGTTTTTTACCTGTGCATCGCAGTCAAACTTGGAATAAAGTTCATTTAAAGTTCGCACCAACTCTTTCGCATTTAACTGTGCAGCTAACACTGTGAAGTTTACGATATCAGCGAACAAAATACTATTAAACAGATGGAATTAAACAAAGTCGAAGTAAGAATGAAGGTTGACTAAATTCATTCATGGGTGGAATGGCTCAATGAGTTGTTTTTCTCATTTGAGAGTGCTGGTTTTCCACTTCTAGAAGGAATAAACTTGCTGACAATCCGTGCGCTGGCCAACTTATTTCTGTATTTCTATCTCCTGGCGAAAATTTCCAAACCCGACAAGCCAATGAAGCGAGCCTAACCAGAAATGGCAACTTTAGACAACAAACTGTCCACTTAGAGTCGTTAGATTTTCAAATTTGCAATTTTGGAAAGCCCTCTGGGATAAAAAAGAAAATATTGCTGAAAATAATGTACCTGACGTTATTGTGTACTTGAACATGAAGATCGTGAAAAAGTTTATGGTTTTTGCTATTTTTGCCATTATCTGATGAAGAAGCTACAATCGCTTTGCTAACCTAAAACAATTGGTTTGGCATTCACAGATATGTTAACTACTACAATCACAATCTTCTACCCTGCACGGTTTTCAGGATTCCAATTTATTTCTAGAAATTCTCAGATCGGATTCTTTAGTATTTCATATAAAAAAAAAGTAATATAAATTAATGAAGTCAATTTAATAAATGATATCATTGTCATTAAGAATAAGGGTATTTAATAGAGTATATATGGCGCTACTGGATGTTTTTTCGGATATAAAAGTTGAATGAAGCGCCAAACACGCCATGGAATTTTAGCTTATACTGAGAAATGAGCGTTTAAACCAGGTTACGAAAAGGTTTTAATTAAAAAAAGGCGGAATTAAAGGCAATTAAATTATTGCACTTCGATAAGAATTATTTGACCTTATCTGTTAGATAGGCAGGTATCAAAGACAAGAGTAATTGATCCTGTCGAGCCTTAAGCGATTCCAGTTGTGTTCTTCGATGCACTGCTTCGCTTAGCTTCATTGCGATTTCAGCTCTATTTCCAGCTTCACTTGAGTCAGCTATAGATCCTATTATTGATAATGTGGCCTGATATAGAAAAAACGCCACAAGCTAAAAAAATTTTTACACCACCTTAAAAGGGGTTATTTAGTGAAATTTTCTATGCGTATTGTAGCAGTTTGCAAGAAAAATGCAGCTAAAACCTCGTACTAAACGATACTTTTTATTAGACTAAATAAGTTTAATTAGATTAAATTAATTGATTAAATTGAAAGAAGTTGAACTCTCTTCTTGCATGGGAGTAAACATGCCATTAAAAGTGAAGTGAGGGTAGTGCTTGGTAATTATCTCCACTTTTATCGTGAATGAGTCGACATGGTTCTGTTAAAAGAAAAAAAAAAAACTTGGCTATTTATTTGGGAAACATTCAAATTACTAAATTCTGGCGAAAATGATAAAGGGCAAACAATGAGAGTAATTTGTTATTTTCAATTAGAAGTAATCCAGATATTTGCCATATTTTGTGTCGCATGTTGTCATGAAATACGTTTTAAAAACATACGTCATAAATAAACGTTTCATTTTTTCTAAATATATCACGTGCAAGTGCTGCTATAACAACAATATGAGAAATATTCCAAGCAACAGATATGATAAAAAATAGACGTCGATGGCGCGGAAGAATAAAAAATTGAAATATTGTGGTCATACATAGCCCACTACACAGGGCTGATAAAGATGGTATCCTACCATCATTCACTTTCTATAAAACTTCATTTTATCACCAAAGCTTGTATTTATCAGGAATGTTGAAATATGAGCGACATGCTTAAATTTTACTCATATATATCTGCGCTTTTCTGTTAAATAGATGCTAGAGACAAAAGGTCTTCAGAGTTTTTTTTCCGCCTTGTGTGTTCCTATATCCTCGACCCTTGTAGTACTGTCACATTTTCATCTGCATCCTCGTTCACCCTTGCACATCTCCATCAATAATTTACTTATAAATTTATTCAATAATTTACTTTACTTATTTAATTTACTTTATCCTTCCTCTCTTACAATTCTAGAATCTTTCAAATCTACATCCTCCCATCTGTCATATTTTCTCTTCCATATATGTGAGTCAGGTTGTCCTTATAACCGAAAAATACTAGCACACAATTTTCAAACAAAATTCGCTATATATTTAATTAAAATATTTGCGTAATACAACGAAAAATATATTTAAATAGCGAGCCAAGAATTGAAATGCAATCCTTGATAATTCGGAGAAATTTTTGCCGAATTTTAAGTGTTAAATTTCGCAAACAACTCAAAAGAGAAAAAGACAGTTTTTCAAAAGGATTTGTTAAAAAATAAGAAATTTACTTGTAAAATCACAGGTACATGCATTGTCCATACAAAGATAGGAAACAGAATTGACAATATGAATGCGAAAGTTACGGTATTAAATTTATTATTCTGAAAATTGGCCATTACTATTATTTTATAATTTTATATAGATCATAAACACGGTAACAGTAGTAAGAAAAAAATGATTTAAAATTAACCTCTTCCACATATCGAATAGTTATCGAGCTGAATATTATATAAATAATAAAAAATATTGCGAGAATAAAGCAAGCAATTGACCAGTGCTAAAATTTAAGACTTTAATCTGCAGTTATATCAGTGACTTAAATTTAAGCAACGGTGAAAAATATTTACGATATTTTCTTAACTTTGATGATATTTATAAAATTTTATCTCATTTAATTTCAAATCTCATTTAATTTTATATTTTCAAACTTTAAAAACTTGAAAGTTTTGTTATAGCGAAACAATCATGAATATTAATTTCACAGTAGTAACAGTTGAATTTATTCAAAACCATCATAGTGGCACTTCGATGTGTACTTCGTTCATTTTTCCTTCCATCATCAGGATAAAAAATGTTTAGAAGAAGGAAATAATATGCATAAATAAGGTTTTGAAGAATTTAATGAATGAAGCAAGTAAAACCTTTGGAATTATATAGTTGAAAATCGCTATTTGCGTAATAGAAAATAATAAAAGCCATAAGTGAAACGTATGAAGTCGTGCTCGATCTATTGCCCTCCAGTGTCGTGATAATATTTGACGAATCTCACGATGAGTGGTTTGAGATGGAGTTGCAATTATTTGCGATGAAAGCGACATCTTAAAAATGATAATTACTACATGGAATCTGTCATATTTGCAAACCTCTTAATTGTTTTTGGGCAATTAAATTTTTTATCAATAGTCAACAGGACATAGAATTAATAAAAAATTGAGAAAAAAAAGAGATTGCCAGTAAGATATTATATATTATATTATATTATATTGAAATTTTTAGTACTATGAATGATATGAATCGGTGAAGAAATATTTATTCAAAAGATGAAAGAATATTGCCTAAAATTTCTTAAATTAGCTAATCTGGCTTCGAAATTTGCCACTAGAATTCTTTCAAAAATTAGCTTTGTAAAAAAATTAATATTTATATGGAAAGAAAATTCAAAACAACAAATATCGCATTTTATTATTTCCTTATCAAAAACAGATGTGAACTGAAGACTCAGGATTACGCTGGCTAACGCCTTTTGCAACCGAATCAAATAATTTCATCTTCTTCTAATTTTTGGTATAAATTAGTGAGAGAAAAAGAAATGTTTAGCTGAATAATCAGGCATGACGAAATTTTGTCCTAAGAAGCAAAAATTTACGATAACATTTCAAGAACTTGAAAATTTTGCGTAGCCAGTTTTTCAAACATTATTACTGCCTTAGTATTTCAAGTGTTTATTAAAAAATATATGCAGAAATGTGAGTAATTGATAACCATTCTTTGCTAAAAGGAGTTCGAAGAATTTATAAAGGAAACCTTCGCTAATTTATTGACATGAATGTCATGATTAAGATTTGTTATGAAAATAATGGCCAATATTGATGCATATAATTAAACAAAATTTGCTTTATTTCAACTTGTGCTTATGAACTTTGAATATGAGCTTTATTAAGATTTTTGAGTTTTTAAATTAGCTGATAAGTGCTGATTTGCCAATATGAAAGCAATTATTTGACGATCGAGAAGCGAAAAAAATACGTTTGAAGGATTGAACTTCGTAGTGGTTAACAATGAAATCAATAAAAAACTGATAATACGAGTATACGAAAGAAATGTAGGAATAAGAATATGTAATGTACCAAACAATTACGAATATAAACTAAATGGTAAAAACAGGTAAAAACGAAATGAAATGCCGACCTGATTTGAAATGAAGAAAAAAAGGCTCGATATTAAAATGGACTTAAGAGGCAGTAAATTTCTGTTTTATTTTTTCAGATCGCTATCTGGAGAAGTCATACAGTTCCCTTTCATTATGTAAATCACGGATCTCGCAAATAAAAATTTATCCATTTCGAAATAAAATGATTGTTTCCGAACATCTAAAAAAATAGTTCTAGATTTAATAAAAAGAGAATGGCTTTTTTACCAAGTATTTTTGTTTCGAACTCTCCAGTGATATAAAATATTTTTCTCGTATTACACCAACAACGACTAATCGTAAAGAAAAATTTCTAAAAGGAGATATGAAATTAAGCCATTTAAATTAATTAAGAGTATGTTTCGAAACACTTGTACATATTTCTGCTTAATCATAGCATTTCAATCATCATAATCATAATCTTAATCGTAACATCACAGTTCATATTTCAGCATCTCAATGGAACGAGTAATTTGCTGAAGCGTTTATTACGACAACATTTACGGCACTGATTGTTTCCAATTTTCTTTTGGTCTCATATTCGTTATAGCGTTAAATCTTAAAGAATCGATTGTAATTGATTGCAACGAGCCTATGGGAAATCATAATTCGCCCTGTTAAAATTGGAAAATGAGGCGTAGTTCAATGGAAATTAAAATAAAAACAAAATTTTCAAAAAATTTTTGCCAAAAGAAATAAGGAAAAGAAATTTTAACTTTTTATAATCTTAGCTAGTTTTAGAAATTAAGTTCCATCTTCTGTTGCAATTGCAAAGATCAATGTATTGAAAAATGAGTGGTTGCTTTGATTTGCACCAAGTATCAGTGGTTCAATTTCTTGACCATGATAAAATTAAACCTGTCATTAAAAAATTCTGAATTGTATGCTGCTAAATAAAGGAAAGGAAATGAAATTCCAACCATTTGTAAATTTATAACTATGTGATTAAATGTGAAAAATTTCTAACTGTACTAATTACCACTTACATATCGATATGGCAACTATGCTAAAATCGTTTTCAAAAGGCATCCTTTTCCATCGGTTATATTGATGATTAAAGTTATATAGTTAAATAAATGAAATTCAGTGAAAAAATCTGAAAGAAAAGCTAAAAATAAAAATAACTATAAACTATAAAATAAAAATAGGTAAGCGAAGAAAATATTAGGCTGATAATTTAATCGTCGATATCCGTGCAAGAGATGGTGTTTCACAGCGCCAGATTAAACGAATTAATCTGTATTCAATCTTCAGATCATTCAAATTTTTGAAGTATTGTTAGAACTGATAATGAAAAATTTTATGGCATGATATTGAAAATGAAGTAAAAAGTCAAAAGTTCTTTTAAAAATAAGAACAGATTAAAATGTCAATGGAAAAAAAAGAATTGATGGTTGATTTTCGCAAGTGTGGAACTATTTTCTGAATCGTTCGTCAAAAGTCATGCCCTATTTGAGCTATTTAATGTCGAGCTATTTAGCATATTATTTGGAAAAAATCCCATTTTAAAAAAGGAAAAGGCATTTTATTAAAAAATTGTTTGATTGATAGGATCTTTTCGGCTACTTGACGTGGAAGTTGAGAGCTTAGCCGATTAAACCCTAAGTCATTGCAAATAATGACGCATTCTATATTTTGCATAATTTGATAATATTTAAAAGTTTAAAATTTATTAATTAACAAACAAAAATTTCTGAACTCCGAGATTTAGAATTTTCGATTAAATATTTATGAGGAAATGGAATAATGGAATATTTCATCCGGAAGCTTTTTAATTATTTAATAATAATAAGTACAGATGAAACAATAAAAAAAATCACAGTTTTGTCATCAATTTGTCAATATGACTGAATATTTATCAATTTGAGTTGAAAATTTGATTTCTTATCAATCGCATCAATTCGACTCGAAGAATCCTCAACCATTCAACAAGTACTTAAACAACTTTTTAAAAAAAGAAAAACGAAGATATTCCTTTTTTTGTAATTAATCAATTAATTAATAATTAATCAAAAAATCTAACAAAAAATTAATTACAATAGCTAAATTGATAAAAAAAGGAATATCAGCAAACTTTTATCAAAAAATTTAACTGATGAACAATCATAAAAATCAACCTGTAGGATATCAAGTTTAAACTAAGCTATGTGGAAATATGGGTGATATATTGGTGCCATAAAAGCGGTATAAAAGAATTAGAATGCTTGAGTTCGCTTTATTATATGTTTATATTATATATGTTTATAAAGTTCCCACTGGTATACCTGAGCGGTATGGTTGCTTCGATCAGTGTAGGAATTCGGACCATGCAAGATGTCCGGGTGTGTTGGCAACCCGCCTACATTGACATTGACAAGTGATTGGACTTTCAGCTAAAAATTTTTACTCCAATAGCCACCGGAACTAACCTAAACACAATGTGCAATAACCACTTACTTTTTTCAAAGTTTCATATTTTACTCCGTAATACACTGACAAAAAATTGCATAAGAAATATAAACGATTATTTTTTAATTTTTATAATGGAGCAAAAATAATGCCAAAAAACATTTCGTGCATGAAAATATTGTAGAAAAATGAAATAGAACCGAGAAATCGATCTCGATTCGAAAGAAAATGGAGAAAAAAATTTAAGCCAGGGATAGGCGAGTAATTATTGCTGAGATTTTCACCTCTACTGTTAAAATTCTAACCTCCGACAGGAATAAACCTGCTATCGAGAAAGTCCGAGTGTAGAAGTGTAGAGTGCTGAGAACTGTAGTTCTGTTCCTTGTCTATCTGTCAAAATTTTTCACTGCGCAAATAGCCCAACCGTGAGCGCTAACCATTTATTTACTTTTATATTTAAGAAAAGAAATTAGGCTTAAGCATCAAATTGATTTATTTTCGCTCGTGAAGAATTATACGCCTGAAGTAATGATAAAAAATTTCGAAAGAATTTGTTTAAAATAGATTTCAGTACGTTAAGAAAAGAAAAAATTTGATGCCTGGGGTCCTAATGAATTGTGACAATCATCCGAATGCTAAATCTTGCCTTCAGAGCAATATTTAGTACATATATTTTTATTCCTTAAATCAATCTTAATTCCGATTGCAGTTGAGGCTTTAACATATTTGAGGCATCTAACTTATTGCATTTACAGCTTTTTCTTCTAATAGCTCTCACCATTACTGGTTAAGCTAACTCCTTTGGGAAAGGCAAGACCTTTCCACGCTGCTCGATCTGCTGTCATCGCTGGCAGTCGAAGCCATTCTTTTTTTCGCCGTCTAAATTCATATATCGTTGGTTCCTTTAAACATTCAAAATCTTTTCTTACAGTGTCAGTCCAGGTCTTGATTGATTTTCCTTGAATTTCTATAGTGGGCGACGACTTGTCCTAAGTACCAAAGGTGACGCTCTGTTGTAATAATATTTAATGCCGGTAATATATGAGTGAAGAAGCAATCATGTTTTTGTATCCTAGATGTGAGTAATCAAAGGTTGATGACTTCTTAATATCCTCCATTCTCGTTGGCCATGTCTTGAAGCCACACAATAAGATCGAACGACTGCAGCTATATAGATGCGAACTTTCGTTTTTATAGTTTAGTTTATGTTAATAAATCACTTATGATAATGATGAATCAATGCGCCTACAGCTAAAGATCCTGGAATTAGTTAAGCCAATTAAAATAAAAAAAAACAGCGAATTTTATGGTGTATACTTACTTATTCGGCGTAGCTTAGTGGCACGATGATTGCCATTAAGAATGTAGAATAGCTTGGGCTCTTATTCCGAGGAATCAAACATTATCGGGTAGCAATGTCAACTAAAGGCGAAAACAAAAAAGGATAAAATAACTCAGTGGGTTGTTGCTCAATTCGGAATGCCGAAGCTCAGGTTCCACGCCTGTCAGAAATAAATCTCC